CTCCTAATACAATTCAACAGCCAGTAGAATTCTATAATTCCTATTTTTCTTAATTTTTATTTAATTTCTACTTAACAAACACTATTTATTTATTAACTTCCCGTAGGGTAAGTTATAGTAATCGCAAAAAAATCGAAAATGAAAATTTTTATATATCTTTACGTTTCAGAGGTTTCTGAACATTTTGGCATACCTTAGAAAAAATGGATGTATGTGTGTGTGTGTGTGTGTGTATGTGTGTGTGTATGTGTGTGTGTATGTGTGTGTGTATGTGTGTGTGTATGTATGTACGTGTGTGTATGTATGTGCGGATACAAATTTTCGTCGACGATTTCGGGAACACGGATAAACCGATTTGAATAATTCAAAAAACATTCGATTCGTATTGATAAGGAGACGTGCTGATTAGTTTTTGGCGAAGGCAGGTCTAGCCGTTCCAAAGATACGGGGCAAAAAGTGCCGAAAACGGTAACTCAGTTTTTAAGAGAACGGAGCGTCCGATTTGAATAATTCAAAAAACATTTTACTTGTATTGACAAGATGAAGAATTGATTAAATTTTCATGAAGGCAGGTCTAACGGTTTCGGAGATCAAATGAAAAAAGTAAAAAAAAATGCCATTTGGCGGCCAAAAATGATCATTAGACATATGCACATCAAATTATCAGATATTTTATAGAGATTTTAACAATAAGTATGAATTTGGTTTACAGTCCTATGGGTTCCGTACCAGTGTTCACGCGTTAGGCGGCGACGTGGCGCTTTACGCTCTTTGATAATTCGTCTTTATGCAGTTAAAGCAGTACGATTGCTTTGAAAAAAAGTTTAGATCTTTCAAAATATGTCACAATAAGGAAAATATTTTTTTTTTCAAAAAAAAAAAAAATAAAAAAAAAATTTTTTTTGAAAAAAAAATTTTTTTTCAAAAAAAAAGTATTTTTTTGTCCAATTTATAGTTTTTCAAAAATCTTATTTTTTCGAAGTAAAATTTTTTCAAAATTGTTAATCGTTTTTTAAAAAAAAAATAATTTTTGGTACGGGAAGTTCCAGCAATTTGCCTTAAGGCACGATGCCTTAATTGCCTTAAGACAGAATTCCACTTACAGCTAGTTTCAGTTTAACCACACATATTTAACTTCCCGTAGGGCAAGTTATAGTAATCGCAAAAAAATCGAAAATGAACATTTGTATATATCTTTACGTTTCAAAGGTTTCTGAATATTTTGGCATACCTTACAATTAGAAAAAATGTATGTATGTGTGTGTGTGTGTGTGCGTGTGTGCGGATACAAATTTTTGTCGACGATTTCGGGAACACCGATCAACCGATTTGAATAATTCAAAAAATATTCGATTCGTATTGATAAGGAGACGTGCTGATTAGTTTTTGGCAAAGGCAGGTCTAGCCGTTCCGAAGATACGGGACAAAAAGTTCCAAAAATGGTAACTCAGTTTTTAAGAGAACGGAGCGTCCGATTTTAATAATTCAAAAAATATTCGATTCGTAGTGATAAGGAGACGTGCTGATTAGTTTTTGGCGAAGGCAGGTCTAGCCGTTCCGAAGATACGGAGCAAAATGTGCCAAAAATGGTAACTCAGTTTTTAAGAGAACGGAGTAAAATGTTTTGTGAATTATTAAAATCGGACGCTCGAGCGTCCGATTTTAATAATTCAAAAAACATTTTACTTGTATTAACAAGATGAAGAATTGATCAAATTTTCATAAAGGCAGATTTAGCGGTTTCGGAGACCTAATGAAAAAAGTAAAAAAAAAAATGCCATTTGGCGGTCAAAAATGATCATTAGACATATGCACATCAAATTATCAGATATTTTGTAGAGATTTTCACAATAAGTATAAATTTTGTTTACATTCCTGTGGGTTCCGTACCAATGTTCATCCGTAAGACGGCGACCCGGCGCAATTGGAAATGGAATTTCCAAAATATGTTAAAATGAAGAATACAATTTTTCAATAAAATTTCTTTTTTCAAAAAAAAGTAATTTTTTGTCAAATCTATAGTTTCACAAAAATCTAATTTTTGCGAAGTAAATTTTTTTTCAAAAATGTTAATCGTTTTTAAAAAAATAATAATTTTTGATACGGGAAGTTCCAGCAATTTTCTTTAAGACACGATGCCATGCGCCCCACTAGTTTTTTCATAAATTCTAAATCAATGACAGGATTCGTTCCAAGGTGTGAATCGAACTCGCTACTATGTGAGTAGGGCTTACAATACCGGGATTCCGTAATCCCGAATACCGGAATCCCGGACGATTTTTGTCCGGTATTCAATACCGGTATTGATGCAAATAATACCGGTATTACGGTATTACTAGTATTCTATCAAAAATTCAACTTACGCAAAACACATATAAAGTTTTAGTTTCTAAACTATGTATTGTGTATTGCCGACGATCAGCTGAGTGTGACACATCGACAAGCAGTGTCGGCAAGATAAAGCGATTCATTCAAAAGGGTTCATTTACAAAAGTTATTATGCGTTCACGTGCCTCGTTGCTATATCGAATTCGCTATCAATGATTTTTAAACATAATAATTAAATCGATGAGATATAATTCTTTATTTATTATATATAAATCATTTTACATAAGTAAGAACGGCAGTTGTTTAAATTGCGTGTCGCTGACATCATATTGAGAATTTGCGAAGTATATTGTTATGGCCCAACGCTTAATTAGTTAATATTAATAACTAATATAGTAGAAACACACTACGTAATGAATCATATTCTCAATTGTATTGCATTCAACATAAGAATAGTCAACATTGTAATAATCTTTTATCGATGAATTGCACACATCGCAGTAATTCCCGAGAAATCCGAACGGGTAATAACTTGACTTGCACTCACACACATAAAGAAATTCTATTGATCATATTCAAAATCAAGGGAATTCCCTTAAACTAAATAAAATGTTACATAAAGCCGAAATGTAACTAAGTAGGCAGTTGTGTAAATTTCGTGTAGATAACATCTCAAAGTTGCGGGAAAATAAATGTTTATTATAAAGAATAGTGTGTTTATAATATTGTGTGAATATTGTGTTTAATTTGAACTTATGATATTTATAAGTGAGTATATAAACCAAAGTTTTAAGTTAGTGTGTAATTAAAAAATATTAAAATAAATACTTCACCCGTGTGTGTGTTAAAAAACTCCAAGTCTAGAACAAAAAATAAAAAATGAAATTACTTTTTGTAAAAAAACAGGAATAAAAGGAACAAACCTACAAAATATGTATAATTTCTTAATTACAATTGTACCAACAAGTGTAAAATCGGATAGAGCTTTTTCGGCGGCTGGTTATATTTGTAATAAAATTCGGTCCTCGCTAGATAATCAAACAATTGATTGTTTATGTTTCTTAAAAACATTAGCCATGAATTATAATTTATTCTTTTCTTAAATATATTATTAAATAATAAATTCTTATTATAAATGTAGAATGTAAAATGTAACAGAAAAATATATATTTTTACTGACACGTTTTTTGTTTCTATCTACTTCTACTCCTTATGTAATAAATAAATAATATGTACTCATTTCAGGACAATATTTGTTAGATTTCATATATTATTTGTTAATATGTCAATATAACAACTGAAGTAAGTAAAAATATAACTATTTAATTTTTCATCGACAATACCGGTATTAAAACCGGGATCCCGGAATTTTATTTTTCAAATATCGAATACCGGTATTCAGATTTTTGTACGGTATTGGAAGCCCTATATGTGAGCTATGCTCGCCACAAAATAAAAACATTTAATTAGTTAAACTAAATCAATTGCAATTGTAATAAATAAAATAATAACTAGCTGTAAGTGGAATTCTGTCTTGAGGCAATTATGGCATCGTGCCTTAAAGCAAATTGCTGGAACTTCCCGTACCGTAACAAAATGTTCGAGGAATACTGAATGTTTTCAAATAGATTATTATAAATATTGTAACATTGTCTAATATTTATAAGAATTATATAAACTGAATTGCAAAGTTGAAATTATTTGTAAAGTATATTAGAACTATAGTCAGAATTAAAAATAAAATCTGAATTATTTTCGATATACAAAAAATTAAAAAAAAACAATTATTTTGTTAAGACAAGCAGAAAGTTCTTTGAATCATTTAAATCGGACGCTTAGTTCTCTCAAAAACTGCCATTTTTCACATATTTAGCTCCGTATCTTCGAAATGGCTAGGCCTGTCTTTGCCAAAAACTAATAAACACTTCTCCCAATCATTACTAATTGAATGTTTTTTAGATTATTCAAATCGGATACTCCGTTCTCTCAAAAAGTCGATTTCTATTTTCTGCATTCTTTGCTCCGTATCTCCGAAACGGCTGGACCTGCCTTTGCCAAAAACTAATCAGCTCTTTTCCCTATCAATAGGAATCGAATGTTTTTTGAACCAATCGGTTGATCCGTGCGCCCTAAAACGTGACTGGAAATTTGTATCCACACATACATACACACACACACACACACACATCCATTTTTTCTGAGGTATGCCAAAACGTTCAGAAACCTTCAAAACGTCGAGAAATGTAAAAATTTTCAATTCCGATTTTCGGCCCATTACAATAACTTACCCTACGGGAAGTTAATAAAATTGTAATAATGATAACATGTAATAATGAATGTTATTTCAAATTATAAAAGTCCAATAATAATTCAAGTATTTGCGATTGATACCTATTACGGTGGACAGAGTGCGTATGTTTTTTCACGGATACCGCACGTCGCACAATACTGCTTAAGAATTTAAGTATATATAGTGTCCACATTCAAGATGGTTCTCAACCGGGTTATCTCGAGCCGGACTGCGGGCGTTCAAACGGGTTACCTCGATAACTCTCGTTGGATGTCGCCAGGGGCTTTGCTCCTGACGGCTTCGACGGTTCGCCTGAGGAAGTTCCCCGGACGCTGGGCAGAGAGTGCCGCGGGTTAAGCCCGTTAGCCGGCGGTTCAAGCGTTGTAGGATGGGAAGCTCTAGGGCCGATCTCTATCATCGCATCGAGCCGCAGGTGTTGGTCAGAGCAAAGCGGATGTCGATTGTGGGGGTCTTACGACTCTAGCAGAACGGGGGCCACTCTGAGATTACCTGATTTATTTTTAATTTTTTCTATAATATTTCTATTATTAACTGTGTGTGTGTGTGTATGTGTGTGTGTGTACGTATGTATGGATACGAATTTCCAGTCACGTTTTAGGGCGCACGGATCAACCGATTTGAATGGTTCAAAAAACATTCGATTCCTATTGATAGGGAAAAGAGCTGATTAGTTTTTGGCAAAGGCAGGTCCAGCCGTTTCGGAGATACGGAGCAAAGAGTGCAGAAATAGAAATCGTATTTTTGAGAGAACGGAGTATCCGATTTGAATGATCTAAAAAACATTGAATTAGTAATGATTGGGAGAAGTGTTTATTAGTTTTTGGCAAAGGCAGGCCCAGCCATTTTGAAGATACGGAGCTAAAAATGTGAAAAATGGCAGTTTTTGAGAGAACTAAGCGTTCGATTTAAATGATTCAAAGAACTTTCTGCTTGTCTTAACAAAATAATCGATTTATAATTTAATAATCGGAAAGTTGCAGCAATTTGCCTTAAGGCACGATGCCACCCACCCCACTAGTTTATATTTGTAGTTAATTTTCTCGTGCCATCAAAAACTTATATTGATATATTCATAAATAAACTAGCTGTAAGTGGAATTCTGACTCAAGGCAATTAGGGCATCGTGCCTTAAGGCAAATTGCTGCAACTTCCCGTACCGCTATTCAAAATTCGAGTAATTAAAAATAATCAATAATAATAATAATCAATAAAAGTTGATCAACGATTTGAAACTTTTAATAGAATTTCGAACCATATTAAATCATTCTATCTTAAATCATTTATTTTGAAATATTTTGGAAATTCTGAACTTTTTTCAAAGCAATCGTACTGCTTTAACTGCATAAAGACGAAATATCAAAGCGCGTAAGCGCCGCGTCTTCGTCTAACGCGTAAACATTGGTATGGAACCCATAGGAATGTAAACAAAATTAATACTTATTGTTAAAGTCTCTATAAAATCTGATAATTTGATTTGCATATGTCTAATGTTCATATTTGACCGCCAAATGGCTCATTTTTTTACTTTTTTCTCCATATCTCCAAAGTCCTGCCTTTTGGACCTGCCTCTCCAAAAATTTGAACAGTTCTTCACTTAGTCAATACAAATAAAATGTTTTTTGAATTATTCAAATCGGATGCTCAGTTCTCTTAAAAATTGAGTTACCGTTTTCGGCACTTTTTGCCCCGTATCTTCGGAACGGCTAGACCTGCCTTCGCCAAAAACTAATCAGCACGTCTCCTTATCAATACGAATCGAATGTTTTTTGAATTATTCAAATCGGTTGATCCGTGTTCCCGAAAGCGTCGACGAAAATTTGTATCCGAACACACACACACACATACACACATACACATCCATTTTTTCTAATATGCATTTTTCTAAGATGCATTTATATTTATCATAATTGATTGTAACAATTAGATTTTTTTATTTATGTAAAATTAATAACCAAAGCTAATATTTATCATCTTTTTTCCAAGAAATCAATGTTTGTTATGTGATATGTTTATTAGACACACAATTTCACCACAATAATAATATATAAAGTTTCTTGATATTTATATGTGTAGATATTAATAATATTTTAATACTGCTCCAGTATAATTGACGCATTCCAGAAAAACTTATGCAAATATTTTGTATTAGGAATAAACATCGAGATTGGGTTTGTTTAATTTGGATATTATTATATATATTTTTTAAATTAATATTATTTGTTGTATACTAGGTGTACAACTAATGTAGATATGAATATAATAGTTGGAATTATTCCTCAAATTAAAATAATACTGTTGTTTTATAGTTCGGTTAGTTTGTAAGTTTGCTAAATTTTTGGGACCAACCTTGAAGTTAAAGTTTCTACTAATTATCATTTTTGTTTATAGACATAGACAAGAAGACAAGTATATTCAGTAGAACTCCAATTATACGAACTCCGACTATCCGAATCGCCGATTATCCGAATCACTTTCAGAAAAAAATGTCCAAGTGTCTAAGTGCAAAAAAGTCTAAGTGCAAAAAAAGTCTAAGTCCAAAAAAGTCTAAGGTTGAAGACCGCAAAACAGCTTACATTGACGGAGATGTTTAAAAAACAATGATTTTTATTTCTAAACTTGTACATTTATTTATATTTAAAACATGTGAAAATATCATGTTTCTTTCATTTAATTCAATAAAAAGATAGTGCAATATCAAAACGTAACTTTTTTCTCCTACACAATTTTTAAAAAAAACTCCGATTATCCGAATATTTGATTATCCGAATGGGTCCCGGTCCCCATTAATTCGGATAATTGGAGTTCTGCTGTATAGTTAAGTAATTTCCCAACGAAAATATCCGGCCCGATATAGTTGATACTTGAAAATCGAGAAAATTTCTCACACCAAACTTCTTTATTTCGAGTTTTATACGTAGTATGTAGAATTTAGTTTAAAAACATCCTTAGGAATAAATACATTTTATTTATGTATAAATATGCATATATTATTATGATTTTATTACAGATTCATCCCCAAACGATTTGCTCGATCCAGGGCAAATACTCAGATACTCTTGTATACACACCTGGACTGCCGACGACGCCGCAAGTTATACCGAAGGAAGTAACTCCGATCAAATCGTACATGCAATAAGGAACTTCAAGATACGTTTGCAAAGGCCCTCCCGAATCACCCTATAAAAATATCAAATCACTATATATAGTAGAAACATCTATTAACCATAACAAAGGTTAAAATGTGCAGGTAAGCCATTTTTATTAATAGTAATCAGTAGAAGATGGATATAAAATTTTAATATTACATTTATTACCGTGTGCATTTTTAGTGACTATGTGTAAAGTATTTCTTGAAACTTAAACTTTACCTGACAAGTATCTTTCATTTCACTATGATGGCCAGCACACATTTGACTTTCTGGAACAATTCCAGACCTTAATCTACGACTAGATGCAAACGCTGAATAAGTTTCATTGCATTCTTCTTGTGAAAACATTTCTAGAGTAACCTGCAAAAAAATATTATAAAATAATATTATGAAATATGTCGTTTGATGTATAACTAACTAATCTAAATATAGTGCAGTAAATGGAGAGGAAAAAAGGGTATAACCTCTGATTTTTTTTACTGTGCCCCGATTTGCATCAAATTTTGGAAATAGGCTAATCTTACCCTTAAGTTTAAAAGGACTTGTGTCTCTAAGGGTAAAAAGGGTTAAACATTCGATAATTAAGATAAAGAGGTTAAGATATAATTTACTTCATACTTAAATCTTTTTATGTCATACCAAAATATATTTTTAGGTGTTTTTTCAATTCAAAGGTTGTTCGCAAGGGTGAAAATGATTTTATTAGCAGGTAAATGTATAAGAAAATATGTTACAATTTTACCCTTCAATATTAAACATATTTTCTAGTGATAAAATGGCTCAATGTCAATTTATATATAAAGCCTTTATAATAAAGGGTAGCGGTGGCATCAAAACACCCCTCCCCCGCCTCCAAAGGGCGGCGGGGAGTTTAAATTGTTTTCACTTTTGAACTTTTGGATAAGATGGACCTAATTCCAAAATTTAATTCAAATCACAGTAAAAAAATTTAGACCCAAAACGTTCCATTGACTGGAATGATAGGAATATTTTTAATTCTATTCTAGTTAAAAAGTCGAAAATTATTTGGACTAAAATTCTTGATCTACTTTTAGTTACGTTTTCACTCAATTAAAGGATTTTTCATCTCTAACAATAGTTTTCAAGATTACCCTTTCTATCATTTTCCTAATTAATATTTGGAACTTAATAAGCTTCATGTCTAAAATAATGACAATTTTTTTAAAGTTAAAGATATAAAGATAAATTCAACATGTTTTTATAATTCAATTTTTCACTGAACTTGAAATTAAAGCATTTTTTGTAATAAAAAAAACTATATAATATAGTTTGTATTACCTTGAACAGTTGTTGGCTCGTGGAACCTAAGTATTCTGTTCTTCCCCAACCAGTAGCAATCGCTTTTTGATGGTTGATATTAAATTCCGTGTGAAGACAAGCTGGTATCACGAACTTATTTAAGATAGCTCTGAAAAATCAAGCAATTGTTATTCATAGCACATTCGTAAAATATGTTTAAATTAATGATTAAATATATTCAATAAAAAAAACATACTTGCGGTCGAGCCGTAATAGTGCAATATCGTGGTAACGAGAAGGAGCTTTATATTGCGGATGCTTGATAATTTCAGCAACAGAAAAATCTTGTGTTTCTGAGTCTCCTTCATTTGAAATATCATTTTCGCCAAGACGAATCCATCTTACTTCCCCACTTGAAAAGAAAATAATGTGGATTGTGGATCAAGGATTGATTAAAAAAAATTAGTGGTGTATGGCATTGTGCTATAACTCTATAAGGCAGTAATTTTAGAATAACATAAAAATTTGAATTTGTAATTCTCAAGGTTTGGCTCTTTTGCTTTCTATAATTCATCTAACTGGAATGAATTGAAAATTTATTTACTCTTGTGGTGAAAATACGCAATGCCCGGCTGTTAAAACAAATTCATCGCTAATCAATGTACCACCGCATGTCCATTTCTTTGAATTCTCTTCTCCCATACCTAGGAGGGCCTAAAACATAGTAATATATAGAATACATTACAATACAAATTTTCTTATTTATCACTTATTAAAATTACCATATGTGGAAATTCTCTAACGCCAGCATGCTGTCCTCCGATAACTAACTCAGTTACTTTATGTGCACATCTATTTACTTTTACTTTACCGAAATTAATAGTTTGAACTGGTGGTGTTATCCATTCATAGACATATTTGCTATATTCCTCACACACTAAAAAAAAAGTTGGTAATGGAAAAATAAAATAGAATTATTTTAATACTAGGAAAATAATATACAATGACAAAAATAATATATTCTATTTAATACAGAAAATGAATTTCGTACTTGCTCGAGCTTTGCTACCAACTTTAGTATCTGGATCATTGTTAGAACGATTATTTGAATCGATGAGGCTGGACTCCGTGCTAGTTCGATCGTTCCGTTCCAAAGATCTCTGGTTATTATTTGATGTTGTACTTTGAGTAGTTGTAATAATTGCTGAGCCTATTCAGAAACATTATAGATTATTTTGCTTTACAAACCTTTGGATACAATTAAATCATTGTACCTTCAGAAACACAGCATACTACTGGATCAAGATTTGAAAAACCACACATTTGTGGATATTTTCCATTTCTTAACCCTACAATAGCTGGCGCGCAATTTCTTAGAAGTTTGCAGCTTCCAGATAATCCATCAATAGTGCAAGCATCACCTAAAATTGATTTATAATTAATATAAGAAACGATTACGTATATAGTGCGTAGTTTCAAAAGTTTAAAAAACTATATTTTTATTTATATATACTTTACGAGCAAAATTATGGGCTTACCTTCATATCGTTGCGATTTTCCTAAATTTATAGAGGAAAATAAACAAACTAAATAAATGACACTAATATTGAATTTATACATAATTCATAAATTATTATTGGGCATACAACATTCATCACAATCTTTGTTATCAGCATAAACTCTGAACTATTCTACATATGTACATATGTGGTATATGTTTACTATATTTGTTGATGTTTGTGCAATCATAATTTAGATATTATATATATATATATATATATATATATATAATACAACAAAGTATATGAGAGTTTACAGAGCGTGGTTTTCCCAAGTGTTTTTTTTTTAGAAAAATGCATAACTGCATGTGTGTTTAAATGGTAAATAATATTATATATCTGACTCTCAGGTTCTAGTCTTCCTTTAATTATCGTATGACCTTCTGATTATTATTATTATGAATAGCTTTCAAGAATTTACTTTGTGACCTATTCATTATTTAATTTCAAAACCTTTTGCTTCCGTCCATTTTCTTTATTCCATCAGGTATCTAAAACTTTCTAGCTACTCTCTCTTCAGTTTGCCGATATTGTTTGCAGGGTGGAGATTTTATAGCAGCAAAATATTTTATGAAAATTAAAGTCATCGTTCGTTTTTTTCCCTAAAATTCCCACATAGATACTCTGGGACCAAAAAAGTGGTGTATATTTGCAGCGCCCTGGCATTTATGGCGTACCAAGACTCTTTGTTCAGAATCCATGTTGAGCATCGTTGTTTCTGTGTATGTACTTCTAGTAAATATACTTGTCGCTAATATAAAATACAAGAAACATAAATCTTTTTAAAACTTTGATTAACCGAACGCTAATAAATCTTCAATTGCAGTCGAAGTCTGTCTGTCCCTGCCTTATGCCATATATAGATGATTGCCAAAATAATCATTGCCATGCGTGACTAGTAAATACTAAGTAAAAAGTATATATATATTATATATATATATATATATATATATATATACTAGCAAACCCGACGAACTCGTTTCACCACCAAATGGTTTCGTGAGAAAGATGAAGAATTTTTTTGTTTGTTTTATATTTGAAAAGGAAAAATTTGATTTTGTTACACAACAGTAATGAATTTATTTCGATTACAAAAATGAAGTGTTTTTAGTTGAACTTCTCTAAGTAAATAAGAGTGAATCCGCCAATTATCCGTTTCATTGAAGTGCTCTTTGGTAAACCACATTTTTTGTTTTTTGGTCTGACGTTAACACAAACAAAGCGGATGGTTTTCCAACTCGTGAACAGGCAACGAATAACTGCCCATGTAAAAAACAATGATTTTCTAAATAATCTATTTCAAATTTATCCCGCAAACACTAAGCGATTGGCCTTGCGACTTGTTAATTGTCATTGCCTTGTTTGCTTATCTATGGTAATTATGATCATTGCGAACGCAAGGCGAACTGGAAGGCAAACGGAAGACCAGTCGGAATCATTGGTATGTCACCAAATTATCAGCAATTTTTGATTGAATGGTGAAATTCAGTGCGTGTACTTCATTATTCTTTGCGGCAAGAATTGCTCGTTGACTTAACCAAGCATAATTCTGATAATTCTCACTAATGTTATTACTCGATGCCATGCACCACTAATTTTTTCTTGGCTATAAACCTTGCGGAGCCCGAAACCTTTCCAACGAATGCAAAATTGTCGAAATCGGTTCGTGCGTTCTGGAGTTATATCGTCAGGAAGGAAAACCCGACTTATTTTTATATATATGTAGATATATATATATAGATATATATATATATATATATGTATATATATATACTATTTGTTTTGATAATTATTATTACTTTCAATAAATCATAATTATCTTTATTATTACAACTATAATACATTATTGGTTCTATCATATGTAGAAAAGTATTATCTGTTATTATTATAAACTATAATAAAATCACATGTTTATCCCCATACAGTCTGTTCAATCCATGGCAAATATTCCGAAACTCTCGTATAAACTCCTGGACTTCCAACGACTCCGCAAGCAATTCCGAAAGATGTAATACCTATGACATCATACATACAGGTAGGGTCATTTAGATAAGTTTGCAAAGGACCTCCAGAATCACCCTATATAAAAGGATATAACATAAGTCACCAAAAATAATATTGATTTTAAATAAATGCTCTGTTACCTGGCAAGTGTCTTTACTTTCAGTATGATGTCCGGCGCACATTTGGCTTTCTGGTACAATTCCATATTTCAATCTACGATTTGATATAAATGCGGCATAAGTATCATTACATTCTTGTTGAGAAAATAATTCTAAGGTAACCTGTTTTGAAATACATGGACTTAATATCATGACATTTTTTAATGATTTAAGTAATTACTTATAATATATTTATATTTATACAATAACCTTATACAGTTGCTGACTTGTAGTACCATAAGTGTGTGTCCTACCCCAACCAGTGGCAATGGCCTTTTGATGTCCTATGTTAAATTCGGTATGTAGACATGCTGGTATTACGTACTTGTTTAAAATAGCTCTGAAAAATTTAATAAATGATTCAAGAATAATATATTAACTTAAGAAATTAAAATATATATTTATGAATTGATACTGACTTGCGGTCCAGGCGTAATAAGGCAATGTCATTGTATCGGGAAGGTGCTTTGTATTGCGGGTGTTTTATAATTTGGGCAACTTCAAAATCTTGCGTTTCCGTTTCCTGCGAGTTCTGAATATTATTTTCACCAAGACGCACCCATTTTACTTCACCACTAAAAATTAAATTTTGTCTCAGAATTTATGTTAGATTAAATTTGAATCTACGGGCCCAAACTAACTGATTTTACCAGCCATACTACCAGCCATGTCTATGCTTACTATGCTCGTCACAACATAATCCGTAAAACTAAATACTTCTGTTGCAAAAATACTTTCAAATTACTATTATTATTATTTTTTTATATAATTGTTATTTTTATATGTTATTGTTAAAATACTTATTAATTAGTTAACTAAAAACTTATAATTTAAAAACACTTAAAAAAATGTGAAACTAATATTTCTTTCATTTAAATACCTAAAAAAAGAAATACCTATATTGTAAAAATATTAATGATAATAATAATAATGATAATGATAATAATAATAATAATAATAAGATACTTAAATTTGTTAAAATATCATGAAATAACCTAAAATTTGTTAAATAAAATAATTATTATATTATATATATAAATTATATATTGTAAAAGTATTATAAAGCTTATTAAAAAACTTATTAGATTTTTAAAAAATACTTGCAACAAACAAACTAGTTATAATTTTGAAATAATTAAAATTAACTAAATATAAATAAGTTTATAGCAAATAAATTAAATAATGAATAAATAAGTAATAAAATAGCTAATAATAATTTAATTAACAATTATATTAAGGGGGTATTCTAGTGTAGAGCGATGAATTTTAGGTCATTTGTAAAGTGTCGTAAAAGAAAGCAATGAATGTTTTTACTATCCATTTTTTATCACTCGTTTATTAATATTATTCAAATATAAAACAAAAATTAAAAAAAGTTGAAAATTGTAAAAACTGGCAGCTGATGAAGGGTGATCTCTAACAAAACATTGGCACCTCAGTCTTGACATGATTTCAGCCTTTTTAGCCATCGGAAATGCAAAAAATAAAAAGATTATTAATCTACAATGATGTCGCAATCGCCCGAACTAACAATGAGTAAAATAATTTTTTTTTACAAATTGGCGACTGTTTGAAAAAAAGGTGTATTTTACTGTTTTTTGAGTTTCTCGATTTTTTTAAAAATAGTAAAAATGGGAATTTGGGGATAATCCTAGTTCGGGCTATAGAGAGGTCTATAAACAAGACTATCTGAACATTTAAAGTGAATTGGTGGGTAATTAAAAACTCGAGAAATCGTGTCAACAGTACTGAAAAAGTCTGTTCTGAGAAAAACGCATTTAAAGTTTTGCGTGAAGCTTAACCAGTATGGAGACCGAGTCAGTAAAATGCCTATATCTCCAAAAATAATTCAAATTTTCAAAAACCTTCTCGTACCCATATTCTTAGATAGTTAAACTTTGAAATATGAATATGAAAAAAATCGTTTTTTTTTATTTCTACACTAGAACACCCCCTTAAACCTGTAAATTATTGACTTAAACCTTATTATAATATTATTATACTGACGGCTTGTAAAACAAATAAATAAATAAATCATATTTATACAAAGTATTCCAATAATGCAATTCTTACTCTTGTGATGAAAATATGCAATGTCCGGCAGTCAGAACAAACTCATCACTTATCAAAGTTCCACCGCAGGTCCATTTTTTAGAATTCTTGTCACCCATGCCAAGCAAAGCCTATAAAATATATAACGCAATTAGAGTCGATTACTTCAACAGTGGACAGTTGTACAAATTGCAAATTAATCAAAAATGAAATTGATATTTTATAGAGAAATCTAAAAGTTAAGCATGAGAAAACATTTTATTCGATATATATAATGGCAAATTGCAGCAATTTGTCTTATGATCTAATGCCATACAATAGTTTTGTTTTCATATCATACCATATGAGGAAATTCTCTAGGTTTGGTGAGCTCTCCTCCAATAACTAGTTCAGTTGCTTTGTGTCCACATCTATTTACTTTTACTTTTCCTGAATTGAAAGTTTGAACAGGGGGTGTAATCCATTCATATATGTACTCTCCATATTGCCGACACACTAGAGAATAATTACAGAATTGAAAATGAAATTTTATTTCAAAGCCTTAATATATAGAATATGCATCGCTATACATACTAGCTCTTGCTTTGCTGCCAACATTTCCGTCTCCAAAACTCGTTTGAGTCGGTCTGGACACTGCATTCTGGTTATTTTGTTGATTGGATCCTGGTCTTTGACTAGAATTCGGCTTCTGATTACTTGTAGAACCTAGAATACATAAAACAAGGAAAATTTTAAATAATTCAACAGAATTGAAACACTTCAAATGTTGAAATTCTTATGATTACGCTTAATAAGTTTAATAACAATAAGAAGCGCGATTAAAAAAATATATATACATATAACTTTTAGTATATTTAGTCTCAAGTATACGAGTATAGTATTAATTGTAATTTATATGTGTTTAGAGACTAATTCTAAATCCAAACAGTTATTTAAATGTTATAAATTTTTGATTGTTTTATGAAATTAAAATAATAAAATATAATATTCAAGTCTCAAAATCTTATTTTGAAATTGTATTTTACAAAATACAAGAATAATTTTTATGTTATAGTTTAATACGTTGGATAAGCTAGGGATAAAGACACTGATAGTAAAATATTTCAAATGAAAATTAAAATGATACGAGAATAGAAAATAATATTTCTTATTGCAAATGGAATTAATATGAAAAAGTAGTGCTAAAAGCATTTAATGGATTAAAATTTATGAAAAATTTATAGCACATGTTCATTTTCACACAGTTATTCACAATTTATACCATATTATAGAATTTTCCAAAATATCACAAGACCAAAATTAAATAAAACAAAAAAAAATTATATATTTTGAATGTTAAATTCATTATTAATATTTTTATAAAAAATTCAGTCTGTTTCAAATTGTCTAATGACTTTGAGAACAAATCGCCAGACTAATTGTAAGAAGATCAGTTGCAGTCTCCACCGTTTTTAAGCTGTTGTTCCTACATTTCCGACAAAAGAGTATATTAGAGAAAAACTTGTTTTGTATCTAAATCTATTATAATTATAAACATATAAATTATTTATTTTCATCATGAATTACTTGATGTTTCTGAAGGACAGCAAACAATTGGCAACGTTTCTAAGAATCCACATATTTGCGGTCGTTCTCCTCTATTTTGCAAAGCTGTTATTGCCGAAGGACAATCTCGTATAAGTCGGCATTTACCAGATACTGTCCCTAAATTGCAATTGTCACCTAAAATTTTAAATAAATTAGAAATGATATAAGAAATATAGATGTATTTTTATGCAGCATTTTACAAAATCATTTATGAAAAATACTTAGCATTAAGTGTGTTTTTGTAATTCCTTAAATAACAATATTTAGTTATAATTATCTCAATATATTAATATTCATGACTTATTGTTAATACATGCTGACCTTCATATCTTTGTGAGACTCCCAAAGTAAAAATTGTGAATAAAAGAGGCAATAGTAATAAATAAGAGATATTTGAGTTCACGTTCATCGTTAAATCTTATTTATTATTGATTATCCTATTACTGATTTTTATTATAAATTTATTGGAATAATGTATTTATAACTGTGAGTTACTAAATAACTCCATAACTATTTTTTAGACAAACATATAATCAATTTAGAAACTTCACTGTTTATATTTGCAAACTGTTGTTTTAAAATATATTTAAAAGAATATATATATTTTGAGAATGTTGTTTTAAATTATATTTTAAAGAATATATATAACTATGAGAAATATTTAACATGATATATTGATTCACTGATATATTTTTACTTTTTGAACCGATATTACCGATGAGATCAATTCTTGGACTAAAATCTTATTGGCGTTAATTTTATACGGGTATCTTTCTATATACACAAAAGTAAATACAATTAAAGACACGCACATGAATATAAATAAATATATAAATATTTATATTTCAACACATACACACACAGATATATATATATATATATATATATATATATATATTATATTTGTATTTGTATTTGTATTGTAACTGGGAATTCCGGTTTACCATCGACAAAATTGATCAGAGTCGATCAACATATTTTTTTATATTTTTTCTCTAAAATTATTAAAATAAAATAAGTAAACATGGGCGGCAAAAATTCGGTTTTTAATACTTCTGAGTTTTATTTTCATGCAATGAAGTTTCAGAATTGATTTCAAGTTATGTATAAAAGTAATTATTTAACTAAATAATTAGACAATTAAAATATATTTAAAATTATTTTTTCATTATTTATTATTAACTTCCCGTAGGGTGAGTTATAGTAATCTCAAAAAAATCTAAAATGAAAATTTTTATATATCTTTACGTTTCTGAATATTTTGGCATACCTTAGAAAAAATGAATATATGTGTGTGTGTGTGCGCGGATACAAATTTTCTTCGACGATTTTGGGAACACCGATCAACCGATTTGAATAATTCAAAAAACATTCGGTTAGTATTGATAAGGAGACGTGCTGATTAGTTTTTGGCGAAGGCAGGCCTAGCCGTTTCGAAGATACGAAGCTAAAAGTGCAAAAATGGCAGGTTCTCAAAGAACAAATCGGGCAATTTGAATGATTCAAAAGACATTCGATTCGTATTGATGTGGAGACGTACTGATTAGTTTTTGTAGGCAGGTCCATTCGTTTGGAAGATACAGAGTAAAAAGTGCAGAAATTCCGATTAGATCCTAGACTTCATAGCATTGTTCGTGAGCATATCGTTGTAGCCTAGTTGGTTGGCGCGTCATCGTTCGCGTTGTTAGATAAAAAAAGTCAAGACTGATCGGGTTCGAATCCTACGTCTGTAATGTTTTTTTTATTTTTTTAAATACTTTTTATGTTTCTATAGTTGATACTACATAAACTATTTAAAACTGTTAACTCAGTGCATACATTTCGCAAACTAAAAATTGATTCATTTGAAATAAAATATGTTTATTCTAACAATAAGTCCGTTTAATTAGATTTTGTTTATATATATTTCATTCAAACATATATAAACAACGTCGTCTAATCTAATAAGTTTTCACATTTTGTCTACAAGTAACAAATAATGAAAATTCTAGTTTATAACTTCCCGTAGGGCAAGTTATAGTAATCGCAAAAAAATCGAAAATGAAAATTTTATATATCTTTACGATTCAAAACCTTCTAAACATTATGGCATACCTTAGAAAAAATGTATGTATGTGTGTGTGTGAACACGGATGAAGCGATTTGAATAATTTAAAAATTATTCGATTCGTATTGATAAGGAGACGTGCTGATTAGTTTTTAGCAAAGGCAGGTCTACCCGTTCCAAAGATATGAGACAAAAAGTGCCAAAAACGGTAACTCAGATGAAGAACTGGTCAAATTTTCATGAAGGTAGGTCTAGTGGTTTCAGTGATCTAGTAAAAAAAGTAAAAAAAAAGCCATTTGGCGGTCAAAAATGATCATTAGACATATGCACATCAAATTATCAGATATTTTATAGATATTTTAACAATAAGTATAAATTTGTTTACATTCCTATGGGTCCCGTACCAATGGTTATCCATTAGACGGCGACGCGGCGCTTACGCGCTTCGATATCTGTCTCTATGCAGTTAAAGCAGTACGATTGCTTTGAAAAAAGTTCAGAATTTCCAAAATATTTCAAAAATTTTTTTCTTCAAAAAGTCTTTTTTTATTAAAAAATAAATTTTTGTCAAAAATTTATAGTTTCTCAAAAATCTAATTTTTTCAGAGTAACTTTTTTTCAAAAACGTTAATCTTTTTTAAAAAAAGATAATTTTTGGTACGGGAAGTTCCAGCAATTTGCCTTAAAGCACGATGCCATGCACCCCACTATTTAAATATTAATAAAATAATCCCAATTAGATTAATCATTTTAATATTCAAATAAATACCGATAAAAAATGATTA